TGTTAAAAATTTTCATAAAAGCTGGGATAACTATGTCAATGAATTAGCTTTCGCCCTTAGGACCGCAAAACATGATACAACGGGCAAAACTCCTGCTGAGTTATTTTTAGGCAGAAAGATTATAACGCCGTTAGATAAATTATTTTATGTTCAACAAAGAGCCCCAGAATTTAAAATGGGTGATATAGAAAAATTAATTAAAGAAGCAAAAAAGAACACTGAAGTAGCACAGAGAAAACAGAAGCTTTATTATGATATGAAACGACGGGGAGTAACTTATAAAGTAGGAGATGAAGTGTTAAAAATTAAGCATTCACTTTCTTCAGCACCAGAAGATAAAACTGCCAAATTTTTTCCACGATTTGAAGGACCATATGTCATAGAAAAAATAACTCAGGCTGTAGTGGTGTTAAAAGCCAGGAATGGTGAAACATGCTCCGCAAACATTGACCAGATAAAACCATTCTATGACCGTAATAAAATGCAAATATTTAAAGATCTTTTGCAGGATCCGGCACGGCAGGCACAAGCTCCAGAGGTGGAACAACGACAATCACAAGGGCAAGCCATTAGGAGGCAGGAGCAATTGAAAAGAAAGTTTCCCCGTTGGAAAATTGAAGGTAACAAGAAAAAGAAGCCGTTCCACCGACCAGAAAGAGAGAGCACGACCACCCCCAGAATGAAGAAGGGAGAAGTACGACGAATGCAAAGAGAGCCAGGAGAAATAACGGCAACTTTACAAACGGAAGATCTACTCATCGGACAGGAGTCTACGCAGCAAATGTCGACGAATTGCGGAAGGAACACCACCAGCTGCGGAGGCAAAGAACAAGGAAAATTTGAACAGCCAGCAACGAGATCCAAGCAGGAACGAGAGAGAAGTTGTCCCGGTTCCGCCAAGACCAGCTGCCATCAAACGGCCAAGACCACAGGCAGAGGCGAAAAAGAAGGTCTTCAAGGGTGACCGAACTGGAAGGAAAAGGAAAGCTCATAGAGGAAGGAACTGAAGGGCGAGCCCGCACAAGAAGGAAGATAAACCAAACGCTAATCTTCGCTACCTTCCAGGACTGGGCAGAAAAAAGAATGTCCGAATATCACAAAGATAAGTAAAACTTTATGTTACTTTGCAACCTTAAGTTAATCTTTCATTCTTACTGCAAGTGGCAGAATTCAAGACGTTTTACCTCATGTGAGGTCTACCTTTATCGCCAAAAAGGCGAGAAATGAGTTGTTACCTATTTTGGTATTATGTTTTTCAATTACTCGCGAGTAAAACTAAAATTAATGTATAATAGGAATGTGTAATAAACTTGAAATATTGTAAAAAGTTATTGTATAAATTTTATTTAAAACATTCTGGCAAGAAAGAAGTTTTAGTCTGAAAGACTTTTTGAAATGTAGTATTTCAATGTAGAAGAATTGGCACTTGCTTGGAAAAGAATAGAAGTTAACAATGTACTACTAATGTATGTTTTAAAATGCGTAAAATTAACGGCATGTTAATATGTTCTTATATACAATGTGAACTGTTATTTTAAACGTTAAGAAATACTGTGATATGTTAAAAGTGAAAGTAATGCCAAAAATTTTTAACTTATTCGTGTGACTGTAAAAAGAGAAAATTATTGTGAATATGTGTTAAAGGTTGAATGAATGTAGTTAGGCTCTCTGACGCTACACTTCAGAGTTAGCCACTTTCAGAATAGTACCTCAGGGTTTAGAGATGAATATAAGGTGTGTTTATGAGGTCTTGTTATGTTGAATTTTAACACGTTAGTGTTTTGATTGCAGGCGGTAGTGTTGAACACTTGTACATAAACACATTCGTGTTTGTGTTTTCTTTTACAACACATGTCAGAGAGCACGGGGAGAGAATTAAATAACGTCATGAATGAAATAAGAATGTTAAGAGAAATATAAATATTCATGTTACTTGCCATTTCATTGTGTAACATTTCATTAAACTAGTTTTCCTTCCAGATCTCTGGAAGGAACCAGATTTCAACTAAAACTCCTGTTTAGATGCAGTACAGATGAAAAGTAATTGTCCATGGAATTGATAATGTAAAAACGACTTTTTTTAAAATTTCTAGTTTCTAGTGAGAAATGTTTGTAAAAGATTGGCCTCGCGTTAGATTCTAGAGCTAAAAGTTTTCAACAAGGTCGTTTTAGACCTCAGTTTCAAACTAATTAACTCTGGCGGGAAGTATGTAAGGATCCTAAGTTTTACTAACGTTTATTTTATTTTAAATCTTTACTATCACTTCTTATTTTCTACTTCCGGCCAGAATTAAAAGCTTTAACTTATTTATGCAAATTTGTCTTGCGAACGCCAAGTACTTAAGTTGTGGCTTTTTGCCAAGCAAGAGAGAGGAAGGAGTGAGTTAGGAGCAGGCCGCTTGCCATAGCAGTTTTACTCGGTTGCTGGTTGCCTTCAAGGCCAGAGGTTTAATCCTCTTGATAATTTTAAACGTATCGTAGTGTTAACAGTTCTCTGTACTACATACGGCCTTTCTGTTAACATACGGCCAATCTTCAAGTAGACCTTGTTTATTAATCCAAAGTTAGTTTAGTTAGAATTTAGTTAATATTTTTATATTCTTACGTTCAGACCACAAGTGGTTGGTCTCTGTATTCCGAAGTCCGAAAATCATTGTAAAGAGAGAAAAATAAAGGGTTTCGTATACCCTTCCTGTGTATCTTGTCTACTTCCCACATTTATTGAACATAGCTTTAGTAAGCTCCCTGTTCCGAGTCAGGTCATTTAAGGTTCCCCAAGCAAGGAAGGAGGAACACTGAACCTGATAAGTTGATATAATTAAATATACATATATAGTATAGTTTATAAAATAAGGTAAGCATATTTCTTATATGATACTAACTCTTATCTTACGGTTTTATGCATATCTCTTGCATTAGTTTAATTAATATATTTCTCTTGCCATATGTATGTTATATGGCTGGAGATTGCAGTACATACATCTTAATACAAGATCGTACGTGTTTTTTTTTAACGAGGTAAACATTAGTATTCCACCTTTTTTAATTCCTAAAAAACTTGACCTTTTGGTGGTGCAAATATCATACGCATGCAACGCGTACCTAATTTTTAATTTTAAATTAACAATCACTTTGTAATTTTGAATTCTGAATTTATTTCGACATTTTCGGCCCTCATAACATATTATACAATATGATACGTGTAGTTCATACCCACAACTGCGCTGACAAACAGATAAGGAATACTGTTTCTCAGTAGCAGCTGTCACCATTTTTACCGGAGTCATTAAAATCAAATCCATATCTCAGAGAGCTTCTACATTAAAACTATTATGAATCAATTACTAAAATATATTCTTATATAGCACTCTTTCACACAAGTGGGTCTGACACTCTTAAAACCCATACCAAAAGGATGTCTAAATGAATTGCGTTTTTGGACTCTTTCAGCTACCAACATGATTGAAATTACTGCTAATGGCAATCTAAATATTCGTCTTTACTATGCAAGCAACCAGAGACAGTTTCTGGCATTCGAAAGTCATAGATAGGCGACACCTAGCCATGATTCAGAGTGTCAACTGTTGCAATTAATTTGTGATAGCTACCGCTACCGCATTACCAGCCTACCATCTTCACCGCTAAGGCGAATCTTTTACTGAAACCTCTTGTCATAATGATTCGTCTTTGTCGAAGATACACAAATTTTTGTTTTGACCGCTTTGAAGTAAACCCAAATATTGGCTAAGACAGCTTTAATCTTAATATTGTTACAGTTTTTGTATTTATTTAGTTTAGCTGTTTTTAGTAGAATTAGTAATTTAAATTGTTTTATATTCCCGTGCAATGCAGCACGAGACTTATTTGAAGAGAATACTAAGCCGGAAAAATTAAATACAGGAGCACGCGCATCTAACATTTTAATAATAGATATCTCGCAATTGTACTCTTTTAATATCCAGAAAAATCGAGAACATACGAGAATTTTCTCGTGCATTTAATAAGCTTATAAAAAGCTGAAGAAAAACATCTCAGTTCAGTTGTTACTTATTGCTGCTAATGATTGTAGCCAATTCGCGGTGAAATCGGATTAGCTTTCTTTGTTTTGAATCAAGTTCTGTTGAACGTTTGAATAGCTTAAAAGATAACTACTGTGAGATATTCGGATATTGCACGAATATCTGAGGAAATTTAAGCATTTTGGTTTTATTTTTTGTGATAAGAATAAACTTTATTCACTTTTCATCGGACTTGCGCATTCAATTTATTACGAACCCGTACGCACGCAACAATATTAAATAGTATACCGTTCAGAGCCAATGGAGGGACAGTTCGTCTATTCGCTGGAGGCTTACGAATTTGCCTAACACAAAGGTGAATTTAATCTTTCGATTGGTAGTTTTATTCCGTTGCCTTGACTGGTCACGAATAAAATCAAAGAGATATGCAAATTAATTGTGCTAACAAGTATTTAAAATTAACATTATAATTACTGTATCTGCAAAGTTTTAGAACCAAATGTTTTCTACTGTTTCTAGAGAAGTCTCAACAGCTTATTAGTAGCTTTAACTACTAAAATATGTAAGCTTAAATTCTCTAAGACATCATTTGCTATATATAGAGAGAAATAATAATGGAGTCTGTTGTTTAATTTTATGCAGTTAATATTTATTATCACTGATTAAAAAAACTTGGGAAAAAATTTTTCTTCCCACAATCAGCTTATTGTATTCTATCAGCCTCTTACAAAGAAAAGTGCAGTGACTAACTGTAATCTTTAAGAGATATCTATTATTAAAAAATGTACGAAGAAGAGTATAACAGTCATAAAGATGTTTCCTTCAGATATCGATTCATTATGAATTCAATTCTCAAACTTCATTGACGCAATATGTACGTATATAAATAGCTTATTCGTTTTTAAATTAAAGAAAAAATGTGTACTTCCAAATAAATGCTATGATATTTCTTATACAGTAAGAAGTTATAGAAGATCTTACTTTCCAAGGAACAGCTTTCATCCGGAATGACAATTTCACCTATTCTTGCAAAGGGCCAGTGGATTTCTACCGGAGGCTCAGCTGGGACTAATGAAGCTTCTTCATAGCAGCCCACTGGGAAGGTAAAAGAAACATGGAAATGTCAGTAGAGATTTTACAAATTGGTTCATATTGAGCTGAAACCAAAGCTTTTGATGTAAATCAAGACTGAATGGAAGGAAACTATCTATAATTTCTGTCAAGTTAACTTTGTCTGAAGTCAAATACTTACGTACTAAATTATACCGGAAGTAGCTTCTTTCCACCGCCCCCCAGCTGGATACTGACAACTCACTACACGATTTTAGGATAACTCTTCGTTGTGTTGCATCATCCATATTTTTGATCTCATCAGTAATTTCCTCAGCTATTCAAATGTCTGCCCTTTGTTCGAAAAGGGCATTTTTTTATAAGCGTTTCATAAAATGAACTCAGGTCTGATCACGGGGCTGACCGTGATCACTACAAATTCTCGAAAATAATGCAGTCGTTATTTCTTAATCGAATCATTAGTCGTCTATCAAAAATAAAAACTTCCTTTTACATTCAACGTTGATTATATATCTCCATCCCGATATCTTGTTGCAAATAACCTCTTAAAAATCCCACAAACAGTGCCCAAAATCGGAATTCAAGATATTTCAGTAGTAGCAATGCCCTTGCTATAAATTAGTAGCTGCTAATAGAGGTAAGATTTCTAGTTCAATTCCTCAAGGACTGGTTGATATTTCAAGTTTCTTGGCTATGGGAAAAAAATCTGTTGACCTAGCTTGTAACCTAACCTGTTGACCTAAGTAACTAAAAGCTTGCAGCAACGTCTCAGCTGCCAGTGCATGGAAGACATTAAAATATGGTACAATTCATGAGACATTATGTAAGTTTCTAGATTTTTTTAAATTTCTCTCTGTGCCCTTCCGTTTTTTTAAATAATGTTTCTGTATCTATCAAGGCGTAAAGGTGGTATACAAAGCACTCCGTTGCATAGCGGACCTCAGTTATTCTGTTGAACTAAATTTATACGTTTAAACTTTAAACTTCAAGAGGAAATAGAAACTAATTGCGATTTTTGCCTCTGTAGAAACATGACGCAGATGACACGGCCTTCATAGGGAAAGGTAACACAAGAGAAGAACTACAGAGACACTCAAAAGAGGAATGTCACCTTTTGTATACACTATGCCACTCTCTAAAACTGAGTATCTCTGAGTCAAAATCCAAAATCCTCCTCATCCCGAAAAAAGGAGGGTCATGAGAACGAAGACCCACTATTTCCATCAATGGCACACGCATCAAAATCACTAATGAACTTAATATCTAAACCTAACTTTTGATGCAGAAATGAACTGTACTGCACACATCCTGGCAATCAAACAACGCAAGGCAGCCACCGCCAGAACTATGAGACAAATGCAAGGATATAAATGGGGCTTAAAACCGCATATCCAAAAGATTTTATATCTGACGGTTCTGGAAAAAATAGTTACATACTGTGCAGCGGTCTGGGCATCTCCGATGCTAGGCCACAAAGTTAAACACCTACTCAGTATTCAAAGACTGTACGCGCTCAACATCACTAAAGCGTATGGCACAACTTCTACTAATGCGATTTTATAATGGTAGGTTTATTACCTGTACACATCTATGTTGAAATGGAAGCTGCCAGGCAGCGTGTCAAGTTACTACACAAAGCAGCATCTTATGAGGACAACATCTTTTCATCAGATAACTATGAATTACCTCCCTCCCATCTGGACTTTCATCCATCACAGCAAAGCACGACTACGTGGATCAAGCTTAGACATAGCCATTCGCTCCCAGAGTCCGTTCAAGACATCTATACGGATGGCTCGAAGATCGACGATAATGTAGGTAGCTCATTTGTTTCCATAATTAGCAACAACATAGTCCCCGCTTGGAAAGGACACCTCCATAAAACACAACAGTGTCTTCCAGGCGGAAGCTGTCGCAATAGCCCAAGCCATAAAACACTGCAAGGCCAGCACTAGGGTCACTACTACCATCAAGACCGACAGTCTGTCAGTCCTTTATGCTTTAAAGAACCCCAAACACCCATCTTCCATCATAATGGAAATCCAAAAGGAATTACGAGACCTAAGATCCTCAAACATACGTCTCAAGTGGGTCAAAGGGCACGGTAGAAATGATAGGAATGAGAAAGCGGACAGATTAGCAAAGGAGGCATCAGAAGGTAATGAGGAAATCACAATCTCCATCAAGTGGCCCATCTCCCATCTTTTACGGAACCTCAAACAAATATCGAAATACAAATGGCAGCTAGAATGGGACACGAGTGAAAAGGGCAGAACCTACCAAAGTAGATCCCCAAAGTAGATCCGAAACGTCTTCTTATACAACCTCAACTGGTACGATATGTTTCGGGCCATGGGCCATTCCTAGTCTACTTTAACAAATATGCTATCATGGATACGGAAACTTGCACATGTGGGGCAACTGGCTCGCCGGAGCATTATCTAACTCAATGCCCACTTACGAGTGATTATCATATAAAAATGCCTACTACAAACCTCCAAGCATTCCACAAATTTATGATACAACATAAGCATTTAACTCACAAATTATGCAAAATGATGGAATGTCTGGCAAGACTAGGAACGGATCTTTGTCAAGTTGCATAACGTCTATCAATATGAACTATTCTTATAAGCATTCAGCAATGTGTACCAAGGTTGTACCAAGGTTGCTTTAGATAAGGGTGGACGTGGCGCTATACCAATTAACCAATATAGTAGAGGGGTGTTGAGCACGTCCTCCGTCACTCACTCACTCTGTAGAAACATGAGCACGGAGATTGCAAACCAGAGGAACAATCTTCTAGGAGGGGTAATATACACTTAGGCGACACGGAATCATACAGCACTGCAGGGTCGGAAATGAAATCCTACCGAGACTGAGAGATATTAGGGGCTATCACAGGAAACCTGGCGACAGCCACCCGTAGAGGTGTTACGATGGAAAATATGAATACATCGGGATCTAAAATTCACATTTATAGATCATAAGCTTAAAATAAATCATGAATTTCCTGATAATGAGTTGTTGAAAATTCCGTAACATGGGCAACGCATAGAATCTCGGAAGTTTCGAAATACGCCGGGCATTCGTCGGACGTTCGTGGTAGCCGCGATAAGGCGCGATTTCAAAACGCCCAGTGCATTTCAAAACGTCCGAGATTCCATGCCTTATTCCATGTTACGAAATGTCGGGAACCTTCATCTTTAGGAAAGTGAAAGTCAGGACTTATTCTTATGGTCTTTAAATGCGAGTTTGCGATCATGATGAATTCTAATAATTTTTCCCTACTACCACTGATCAGCTGGAGCATAAAAAGGGAATGCAGGAATGACAAGCCAATAATGGATGGAAAAACTCTTTATTTAGCGATAAATTTGCAGTACACGTACACTTTCAGTTTCACAACAAGTGCTCAGTGTCGACCATTTACCCCTATCTCGTTAGGAATGCATTTCCGACCCTGCACTGCTATGTGATTCCGAATCGTCTAAGTGTACCTTACCTCTCCTAAAAGTTTCTACCTCTAATGTTTAATCACTCTGTATATATAGCAAAACGAGCAAGCCTTTGGAATTATACAAAAGAAAAAGAAAATAACTGTATCACGTCTTAAACACATTAAAAGCGAATTCGAATATAAGAATGGAAGAAATTTCATGTTTTCATTTTCCTTCTCTGAAAGACAACCGCTTTCAAGTCGTTAATGATGAGGATCATTAGTGACATTCTGTACTAGTAATATCAAACTGGCTGCCAAGCTTATTATAAGAGCAATCTCCAAATTTCTCGAGGCAAAGGCTACAAAATCAAAGGACTAGAGCTTCAGGACCGACGGTAATTCATTAGACCTGACAGTCTTTTTTTCATTATTGCCGCATGCCATTTTTTTTTTTTTTTTTTTTTTTTTTTTTTTTTTTTTTTTCTCGTAGACGCGAAAAGGAATGAGTTAGCATTGGATAAAGATAACTAATGTCGCTGAACATCGTGAATTACATACCTGTTCCTGCTTTCAAAGCTTGGTTAGATACTTAATTTATTTACGTACCTCTTGTGGTAGAGATTAAATATAGAATAAAATTTTTTAAAAATTAAATCCCTTCTCTTCTTTCCATTTAAAACTCCTATTTTTTCCCTTCATAATTTTCTACTTCATGGGATCAGGATCTAGGATATCGGAGGATCTAGTTTTTTACTTTTATGATGAACATTAATTTGAAGAAATTTTTTCATACGTATAATTTTAGAAAAATAATCTAATTTCCTTTCTTAATACCGAACGCAACTTTTATAGATAATATAATCCAGTTCGATGTGATGAAACAATCGATGGTTCTCTTTTCATTGCAGTCATTTAAATACAGCCGGTTTATCTATTGTGACAACATTTTTCCTTTTCTGTCTGGATAAATGCTTCTCGTAAAGAATTCTGCAGCGCGTTCTGTGTTCGGCAACATGCCGTGGAGAAATATGATGACATTATATTTTTTCGCCTTTTTAAGATTCAAATCAGCATTAATCACTTTGTTTACAGTTCATACTGAGCATTTAAAGATTTCGCGACTGTCCTTTCACGTAGCAGCTCTTCTTTTTAACAGCAAGTATCTTACCTTTGGAACACTCGAAATAATCCGTTTTCTTCTTGCATATGTATTTGAGAGAATTTTTACGCTTAAAGCCAAATTCTGACCTTTTTTCCTTTCTTATTGACAATATTACCTATCGCGGCTTAGAAAAACCATGTCTTTTACAGCGTTTTTTTTTTTTTTTTTTTTTTAATAACTAGATACGAATATTTTTTTCGGAAAGGGCACAATATAGCCTTTCAACCATTGCTTTTGGAAAAGCGCCATTTTACATTAAAACCAAACTGCCAAGCAATTTATGCTTTCAAATGTATAGTTACAGTTTAAAAAATGATCTGATGTGAACATACCATGACTTCCTTGTATAGCCTATTAAATTATGCGCATTTTTTGCTGCATTTCATTTAAATTAATTGTCCCGAATTTTATTAGAAATAT